ATATTCTTTAGTTCCATCATCTTTGATCTCTGTGTCCTAGATAAATTCATCTTCTTTTTGAGGCTGAAAAATAGTGGACAATTGGACGCTCTGCATTGTATGAGTCTGCAGGGAGGCCGCTGCAGTTACAGTAGCTCATGACTCCCAAGTCGTAGAGAAAGGTGTGGTTGGCATAAAGGAGGAAGTTGTTCACTGGGAACTCCCTAAAGAAATCAGGTGTCTGTGGTTTTTTCTTTAATGGAGAATTCTACCTCATTGCCCAGTTGTGAAGATCAAATGAAAGGATGGGTGTAAAAGCGTCAGTTAATTGTCATCTTCTTTGTTCTTTTGTTTTTGCACCTCGTATGGTGCATCACACATAGCATGTGTGTGCAAAAGTGTGTTGAATTAATAAATGTGTGAATGAATAAGGAACAGAAAAATAATTTACCATTCTTCCAATTAAAACGACTATAACTCTTACCTGCCAAAGAACCCCCAGTGAAAACTGCAACCATAAATGAATAAAGTTAACCATTGTGTGGTGATATCTCTGTGCAGAAGATCTCAGTCTTGGCTTAACCATTAATTTCCTATATGATCTTGGGTTAGTCCCTTCACCTCACCTTCAATTTTCTCCTCTATAAAATTGGAGGGTTGGACCAGGTGATTTCTAAAGTTTCTTCTAGCTCTGATATCCTATGATACCTTCGTTCTGGGATTACTTCCCATTTAAATTGTATATATGTTATAAATATATAATTGTTTGCATGTTTTCTCTTCCTTTAGAGTTAGAGCTCCTTTAAGGCAGGGATAGTGTTTTTGCATTTCTTCATGTCCTGAGTGTTTAGCACAGTCCCTGGCACATAGTAGGTGCTTAATAACTGCTTGTTGGTTAATTGACGCCACATTAGTTCCATCCTGTTCTTTTATCCTTGGATAGAGTGTATGACTGAAGGAATTTTGTTCCAAGCGTATTAATTTTTTCTACAGTTATTTTTAGCTGTAAAGAAGCTGCCATCAGCTCTTTCTTGTTACCATGACAACAATTGTGACAGCTATTTAATTTTTTTAAAAAATACTTAGTCTTCAATGTATTTGGATAAAATATGTTCTACAAATCCAGAGAAATTGCATGCAGAGAGGTTTGGCACAAAGTAGTGGTGAAAGCTCCCTCCTGAGAGAGAGGCCAGGGATTATTTTTGTACGTATGATGACTTTGGGAGTGAACAAATGGCCCAGGAGGAAGCCAGAAACTTATTGGATTCCAGCGTTTCAGTTGTTCTAACAGGCATAAAAATGGCACATGCAAGTTCATCACTTTGGACATTTGAGGGACATATGTTTCCTCATGTCTACTAATGATGGACTTGAATAAATGAATGAATGAATGAATGAACGAATAAACTGATAAATTGACAAGCTTGAACACATCTAGAGGAGGGCAACCATAATGGAAAGGGAGACTCACAGCCATGCCATGAAGTTCAATTGAAAGAATTTGGAATACTTAGCCTAAAGGAGTGAAGATTTGGGAGCAACGTGATAGTGATTTTAATTCAGATCAAAACACTTGTTTATTGACTGCTATGATCATGATTCTGTGCTTTAGGTAGAAGGATTAAAAATGGCTTGTATCTTACCCTCAAGGAGCTTATATTATATTAGAATCATGTGAAAAAGGGATTTATTCTACTTGACCCTCGAGAGCAGAATGAGAACCAATGGGTAGAAAATACAAGGAGATAGATTTGGAATGAATATTCGAAGGAACTTTCTAATAATTAGAGCTGGTCAAAATTAGACTGCCTTTTGAGATACTGAGGTCCTGATTAGTTGAGGCTGGATGACCACTCCTCTGGAATGTTGTAAAGATAATTCATGTTTTATCTAATGGTTAGTTTGGCTAGTCTCTGACATTCCTTCCAGTGAAAAAAAGGTTAATTTTCTGTATTTCAAAAAATCATAGATTCTTCTCCTCCCTGGGCTTTAGTTTTTTGTTTTGTTTGGTTTGGTTTGGTTTGGTTTGGTTTTTTTAAGATTGTCGTATTTAGAAAAGAACTTTAAAGATCATATAGCCCACAAGTTCTTCACCTTTTTTTTTTTTAATGACCCCTTTGGCAATCTGCTAAAGCTTATGGACCCCTTCTCAATATCATATCTTGAAACACATAAAATAATGTACACAAGATTGCAAAGGAAACCAACTGTATTGAAATATAGTTATAAAAAAGATTTAACCCAGCTCACAGTTCTAGGTTAAGAACCTATGATTATGTCAAGTCCCTTGATTTTACAGGTATTACAACTGATCCATAGAGTATAAGTGACCCACCTAAGGTCATGCAGTCATAAGTAGCATTCCTGGTATTCAAATCCAATTTCCTCATGTATGAAATGAGGCAGTTTATCCAGATGATCTCCAAAACCCTTTCTAGTTTTGTGGTCTTAGCTTCTAGGTTTATGATTCTGAGGTAAGTAAAGTACAGCAAAAGTATCTGGCAACCAAAAAGCACAATCAATGCAAACTATTCTAATTCCAGCTGTTTTTTGCAGTTAGTCACCTCTGCATAGGAGTATTCTTTGGGTAGGAGTGTGTATTGTCTCCTTAGGGAAGAGTGTGCCAAAACAAGGGCTTCGGTACTCATTCACACATGTCTAGAATGTAATGCTCACTGCCTTCATTGGCCAGCCCAACTCTTAGACTTCATGTTCTTCGAAGACAAGGTCCAGATTTGTTTTTCAATACATGTCCCAAGAGCTTGGCTCAGTGATGCTCCATCAATAATTCTTAACTGTCAGATTCTGCAAGCCATGAGGAACCTGGGCTGAAACTGACAAAATGGTCTTCTTAGAATCAGAAATAGACACAATCCTATTGTAGACTCTATGCAATCCCAAAATAATTGAATAGGTTTTCATGGAGCACATATGCTGTAGGCTGTCAATAATAATAATAATAATAATAATGATAGTAATAACAAAGTCAGTTAGCTCACTCCATATTTGTTACCCCTACTTCATACAAAGCACTGTGTTTGTTGAATGAGCAAAAGATTTAGAGTCAGATTTTGTTGTTGTTGTTGTTGTTCAGTCATTTTCAGTTGTATGCACAGATACTCAGTCTGTTGCTGGGTCCCCATAAGTGAAACCTTTCCAGCCCATTCCTACTCCACTTTAAGATCCCTTCATGCCATAATAAGGCATTGAAATGAGATTTTAGTTGGAAGAAATGGCATCGTCATCTTTATTGGAGACAACCAGTCGATGTTCACCTTGGAATCATGAAGACCTGAGTCTGAATCTTGCCTCAATATACTTAATGGCTATATGACCTGTTCACTTAATCTATTTCAGCCTCAGTTTCCCCATCTGTAAATTGAGGATAATAATAGTACCTTATTTTATCAGGTTGTTGAGGATCAAATCAGATAATATAAGTAAAGTACTTGTAAACTTTAAAACACATATAAATGCCAGGGATAAGAATAATTGTTGTTACTATTTCAGATTGTCCTTCAAATGAGGAAAATTTCAAATATTCGTTTCTGAAGGGAAATAGGAACGTTCTCTAGGTTTCTTCCCAAAGTTCTGCTTTGTTTCAATGCTCTTTCAGTTCTTCTGATTGTACCAACAATAATAATGAACACTTCTACAGGGTGTCCCAAAAGCCTTAGTGCAATTTAAATTTAATCTATTTATGTTTAAAATGGCACTAACCCTTTTGTAATACTCTAACAATGGAAGGTTTGCAAAGCTCTTTAACATGTAATATCTCATTTGATTTTACAACAACACTATGAGATAGGTCTATTCAATATTCTTATACTCTTTTCACAATTTGTTTAAATACTTTATTTCCCCTCAATTACATGTAAAAACAATTTTTAACATTCCCTGGATTTTTTTTAAGTTTCGAGTTCAAAATTCTGTCTCTCTCTTCCCTCTGACTTTTCTGAAACTTTAAGCAGTCTGATATAGGTTCTTATATCCTTTTTAAAGAAAGTTTCCATCCCTTTTAACACTTCTCCTCTGATCATATCCCACCAAGAAGACCGTTCCCTTAGCAGGAGCCAGTAAGAAACAGGGAGAGACCTAGAATTGAGGCACAGAGTGTGAGTAATAGAGACAAATGGAAAGGAATAAATCTCCAACAGGTTGTCAAGGTTCTCTAGCACGATGCTGGCCACTTCACATAGAAACAAGGACCAATAAACCATATGTAATGATCCCTGTGGGCACCTGTTGACTTAGACAACTACATAGTTAACATTATCCGTGTTTTATTATATTTTTATTTATGTTGTTAAATATTTACCAATTATGTTTTCATCTGGTTCAGCAATGCTCTGTAATGTTGTGGGCTGTGTATTTGACACATCTGGTCTAGCAAATACACAAAACTGAGAATCCTCTATTTATGAAGCTATAGAATTTACATTATATGTATTTACTGACATCATGGAGTAATAAGTTTCACGTAGGTACTTGGTAAATATTTAGTGATTGATGGTTTGGGGACAAAGTGGATGGAGTGCTGGGCCTGAAGTTAGGAAGACTCCTCTTCCTGAGTTCAAATCTGGCCTCAGACTCTCACTAGCTATGTGACCCTGGACAAGTCACTTAACCCTGCTTGCCTCAGTTTCTTCATCTGCCAAATGAATAGGAGAAGGAAATAGCAAATGACTCCAGTATCTTTGCTAAGAAAACCCCAAATGAGGTCACAGAGAGTGTGACATGACTGAAAACGGATGAACAACAAGGATTGAACATGCAAAGAGTGCTGGGATTGGGCATAAAAGATCCAATTTCAAGCCTAATAATTGGCACTGGTGGTATGACTTTGGTTGTTAAAACTCTCTAAATATCAGCTTACTTACCTATCTAAAAATGAAATGATAGTTCTTAGTATAACTGCTTTGTAGGGGTGTTATGAAGACCAAGTGAAATTATGTATTCAGAATGCCTTCTAACCATAGTTATACGTCCTTTTGAACTTTTTTCTTTCTTTTCCTCTCCAGAGCCATGTTTGACTATGACAAGAGCAAAGACAGTGGACTCCCAAGTCAAGGACTGAGCTTCAAATATGGTGACATTCTCCATGTTATCAATGCTTCTGATGATGAGTGGTGGCAAGCCCGAAGGGTGACTCTAGAGGGAGACAGTGAGGAGATGGGTGTCATCCCCAGCAAAAGGAGGTAATGATTGCTTCCTCTTCTGATTTCATAGCGTGTGATCTGTAGCTTTTATGGGATGGATGAAAGAGAAAAATACGGAGATATCAAGAGAGACAAAGACAGACAGAAAGACATCTAAAAAGACAGAGGGTCACAGAGATGGAGACAGAGATAGAAACAATAAGACAGAAGTAAGAGAAAGAAATGGAGGAAGAGAAAGAGAGAAATAAATAAAAAAGAAAGAGAGGGGGGAGGAAGGGAGAGAGAGACTTTCCAAAATAAACCAGTTTAATCTGAGAATTCATCCAAGAGGAAATTGCCAGCCCAGACAGGTGACACCAATTAAATTTTCCCTTTCTACATGCATTATGGTTTTAATGAAAATTTGTGACTATGAGCTCATGTTCTGACAAGACACCAAACGATAAACAAACAGTCTGCTCAGACTGTCTTGTTGTTTGTGCCTTTTGAAGCAGTTTAATTTACTCCAGTGCATGTATTTCAGAACAAACTTGCCAGTGTATACAGGTTACTAAAAGCCCATCAGAGACATAGCAGGTGCACCAGACAATCTTTTAGAAGAGTCAAGGTCACAGTAGCCCATGCCATCAAATCAGTAAATTAACATGGATTTATCAAGCACCTACTATATGCCAGGCATTCTGCTAGGCAGTGCACAATAATGAAACCGTTCCTGCTCTCAAAGAGTTTAGTTACATTCTATCAAGGTAAATAATCTACTCACATATAAGTAAATACGAAATAGTTATTTGAGGGGGAGGGTCATCAGGCACTTGGTGGATGTAGGAGGGCTTCATGTAGGAGGCTGTGCTGGGCCATTTCCAATTGTCCTAATCTATATCTGGCCATTGGACCCAGATGGCTCTGGAGGAGAAAGTGAGGCTGGTGACTTTGCACAGCCCTTCCTCACTCAAATCTAATTCACTTGCAAGTCATGGCATCATCTTCCTAATGTCCTGGTCCTTTTTGAGAGTGAAGGACAAACCACAACAATGTAGGAGGTGGCTCTTAGGCTGAACTTTGAAGGAAGATAGGGATTTTAAGGAGGTGAGGAGGGAATACATTCCAGGCATGTGAGACATCTTATGCAAAGGCACAGAGATGAAAGATGGAATATTGTTTATTTAGGAGCCTGAGGTTTTGTGTATGTGTATGATGTTACCAAACACTGGTGGAAGAAATCTAAAATTTTACCAGAAACCCATGTTTTCTCTAGAGGATGCCAATTATAGCTGGCTATGCATAAATACCAACCTTTTGGGAATTAGTCTTCCTCTCATTTTCATTCTCATCTTTGGCACTGTGTAGACACAGCCAGAGCTATTAACAGGGTGAATTTTCCTCCCTTGATGTCATCCTTGGCCAGAAGTTTGAGAAGCCAGGAAAAAGCCCTAGATTAGAATAAGGCTTCTTAATCTAGGCTCTGTGAATTTTTTAAAAAAAAATTGATAATTGTATTTTAATTTGTTTTCTTTTGTCATCTTATGTATTTTATGCATTTAGCAAAAAACATGAATCTAAAAAGGGGTCCAGATGCCTCACCAGAGTGAAAGAGGCGCCCAAGATACTATAAAAGACAAAAAATCCTCAGAGCAGCTAGGTGGCATAGTGGATAGAGTACCTGAAGTCAAGAGGACCTGAATTCAAATCTGGTCTCAGACCAAACACTTGACACTTACTAACTGTGTGACCCTGGGCAAGTCACTTAATTCCAATTGCCTTAAAAAAAAAATCCTCTCCTGTGGGCAGCTAGTTGACTTGCTTTCTGGCTCATGGGTCTCTTAATTATCTTCACATGAGAGAAGTTTTCCTCTCAGGGAATGTCTTTCTTAGTATCCAGTCATTGTGCTAGGACCAGAAATTGTTGGACCATAACTTAGAAAACCAATGAAATGGAAGTCAGGGGTGATGTTGTTTCAAATAATCAGCTTATTCCCTAAAGCTATTTTTGTATTTTCAGAATGCTACCAGGCCATTTCCCCATCCATAACACATTGATTTCCAAAATGTCTTCAAACAGATTATGCATGTACCCAGGCAGTGCAGGACTTCTTGCTGCATGGAAGGTCATATCAGGATTTAACTAAGATAAGCCCAGATTTGAGGAGTTATGACTTAGATGCAAGATTGGACTTCAAACTCACTCAGCTCCAGAGAAGGCTGGGCCATGGGTTCTGTGCCTCTTCTTGCCACCTTTATTTTGGCCATGTGAACAGGGTTAGAATGAGGAGAAACAGATTTATCTGCCCTGTTTTCTCTGTTTTCTTTAGAAACAATAGTGTGATAGTGTAGGAGGAGTATTGGGTTAAAAGACTGGAAGGGTTCTAGCCCTGACTCAGCCACTAATGAGGTGTGTGATCTAAGGCAAGTCTCTGAACCTGTCTAAGCCTCAATTTCTTTCTCTAAAATAATGAAGTTGGAAGATCTCCATAGGATTTAGAATGGAGAGGAGACTTAGGTCAAAGGGTCATGGAATTGTAGATTCAGAGCTGGAAGGAAACTTGGAGGCTGTCTTAGAGGTTAGCTAATGCAACAGGCTCGTTTTACAGAGAAAGAAACTGAATCTCAAACAGGTTAAGTGATTTGCCAAAGGTTACACAGGTAGTACGTCACAGAGTCAAGATTCAAACCTAACTCCTTTATAATCTGACTTCAAGTTGGGCATTCTTTTCACCATACTATGATGCATCTTGAAAGAAAGAGTCAGGAAGGGAGGGAAGGAAAAAGGAAGGAAAAAATGAAGGAGAGATGAGGAAGGAATGAAGGAAGGAAGGAAGGAAAAGGAAGGAAGGAAGGAAGGAAGGAGGGAGGGAGGGAGGGAGGAATATTAGCCCTATTGTCTGGGGACAGAGATTTGTGTATCTCTGAATATCAGGCACTGAGATTTTTCTCCTACCTTTTCGGAGTTAGACTCTAAGGGCATAAGAGAGGGATCAAGCAAGTGATAGAATGATCGTCATTTCATGGTAGCCTGGGTCTTGTCACTGTTCCCTCTCCCAAGCATTCCGAGATTAGCCATAAATGTTAGGATGGAAAAATACAGTATCTTAGCCTAACACACTAAAATCAAAGATAAGCTTCTTGCCATAAGGAACAGTGAGGAGAGAGATCTTCCAACTTCATTATTTTAGAGAAAGAAATTGAGGCTTAGACAGGTTCAGAGACTTGCCTTAGATCACACACCTCATTAGTGGCTGAGTCAGGGCTAGAACCCTTCCAGTCTTTTAACCCAATACTCCTCCTACACTATCACACTATTGTTTCTAAAGAAAACAGAGAAAACAGGACAGATAAATCTGTTTCTCTTCATTCTAACCCTGTTCACATGGCCAAAATAAAGGTGGCAAGAAGAGGCACAGAACCCACGGCCCAGCCTCAGATCTCACATATGCTACAAACTTAGAATAAAGTGCTGGGTACCAATTGAAAACAGCTGGGATCATAACACATTAGAATGTGACTTCCTTGAGAGAAGGGCCTGCTTTTTTTGTGTGTGTGTGGTATTCCCAGCACCTAGTAGAGTGTCATGCCACATAATGGGCACTTAATAGATGTTGACTGAATTGTTCAATTGGGTCAAGGTGCCTCACCAATAAACAATACAATTGGGGCAGACCATTCCAAGAATTCTCCCTTTGATTTTGTCTTAAGGAAGTATGGGCTTCCATACTTCATCCATCAGAGGATATAGGCTCATATCCTGACTCTGTTATTGTGTATTATTGGGTAAGTCTCTTAACTCTGAGACTCTTCGTTTATAAAATTAAGGGGTTAGAATAGATGTCCTCCAAGGTCCCTTCCATCTCTGAACTCTATGAGAGCTCTTAGGGGCCAAAACATGAGCTAAAGAGATAAGAGAATATAAATTTGAGATTTAGTTCCTTTATTGAATTTCTCCATCATTTTTCTTCAGCTAGGAAATAGAGAGTAACAGTGAGACTATGCCCAACCTCACAAATGTTGCTGTGACGATACATAAGTCAACACTGGGAATTGACCTCTGGACGTTTTGTGTGTAAATTTATATATAAGTATAAAACATTTGTTCTCTACCAGGTACCTTGAGATATGATAATGGAACTCCCTTCAGTGTATATTCATGTTCACATACAATCCTATACTGGTGTCAAAAATGCTGATTTCGCAAGTACAAGATGGCAGACACATGGCTAGACAGTAGTTTATTTGAAAGATTTTAGTGCGCTGCATGTTCTAAATGAGTGAATAATGTCATGTGGTGGTCAAAATAGCTAATACGATCTTGGCCCACAAGAGAAGAGACACAGTGTCTAAGACCAGGGAAGAAGCAATCCCAGTGTACTCTGCCCTAATGTGGCCTTTCTAGTGTATTGTGTTTATTCAAAGGCATTAAATTATAGGAAGGAGAGCATCCAGAGGAGGGTGATCAGGACAGGGGAAAGCATTGAGTCCCTGCCACTTGAGAATGGCATGAAGGGACTGGAAACATTTAGCTTGGAGGGGAAAAGATTTCGAGGAGACTCGTTAGCTGTCTTCATGTATTTGAAGGACTGTCATGTGAAAGCAGGATTGTACCTGTTCTACTTGATTCCAGAGGGCAGAACTAGAATTTACAAAGAGGCAGATTTAGGATTCATATAGGGAGAGACTTGCTAAGAATCAGAGCTCTCCAAAAGTGGAATGGGCTTCCTGGGGAGGTAGTGGATTTTCCCTCAGAGAAGATCTCCAAGCAAACACCAGATGACCACTCATCATGTATATTGTAGAGAGGTTCTTGTTCAGGTGTAAATTGGGTAAGATGATCTCTGAGATGCCCTCTGATTTTGGAGATGCTTTAATTCTGTGAAGTATTTGTCAAGGGTCTCAGGGCTGTATGGCTCTATCCTTCATCCCAGCATATTCTTTGAGGAGCAATCACCCTCTAACTAGCAATACCACGAATAACACTTTGCACTCACAGGGCGTCTTTCCTCTGAAGAGCTCTCAGCAGTTTTCTGAGTGAAATCATTTTCCAACTGCCT